CTTAATTAATATTTTTTTTATTAATGTCAATTGAAAAAAAAAAGTTCACTCAACATTGATAAAAAATGTTGATAAAAGAAAATCCAATAATAAACATGAGAAAAAACAAAAAAAAAATAGTTTTGATCAAGGTCAACTTAGATAGTTATGTTCGTTATTAAATAAAAATAATATCAATCAAGAAAAAAATTATAAATATATCTAAGACAATTGAAATAATTTTTAATTATATCTATTTAAATTTAATGTATTTGAATATATATAAAGAATTGTAAAATTCCTGGTTAATTGTTAACAATTTTTTTTTATACAGGGGTCTCTTCTTCAGAGAGATAAAGTACGTCTAAGACCACAAACTATTATAATAACGTAACAATCGCATATTTATTTTAGATGTTATTGGTAATAGCATTTTTCTAAAAAAGACATGTGAAATTTTAATTATAAAAAATTAAGAATAGAGTGAAATGTCATAATTTAATTTGTTAGGGAAGAAGAGTGTATATTTCAATATAGGAGGGCAGGACAACTTAACGTACGTAATACTCGCATCTTTAGTAGATATGAGACATTAGTTGTTCTTTTAATATATTTTAAATATATAAAAAAACCCAGAAATAATTTGAAAGTAAATATATATCTTTACTCGAATTTAGAAGAGTATATACTAAGAAATACCAATATTTTAAAAATACATATATAAAGAAATATATTAAAATCCTATTTTGATTCTCCAATTTTTATACAAAATTTTATTGAATTCCTATATTTTATTTAATTCAATTTAATCTTCTGATTTTTTAAAATAATTAAATTAAGTCATTTATATTATATTGATATTTAAATTTATATATCAAATTACTCAACTTAGATTTAACGAAAATAACATAATTGAATCATTTTAAAAAATTATAGATTAAATTGAATTAAATAAAAAATAGAAATATAGTTAAATTTTTTATAAGAATTAAAATAATATTTAGAAAAAAAAATAATATGTGCATAAATGTATTTAAATTTAAATATAAGAAGAAAATAGTTTTTTCGACTTGAACTTTCAAGGAAGGATATCTAAATTCGTATTACAATTTTATACATAAAAGCCAGTTTATAGTTTTTTATTAAAAATAATAAATTAGGACAATTTCAATGCGATAGGAAACCGTCTATAGCTGTTCACTTTCAACTAAAAATATTTTTCTAATGCAGATTACTCAAAAAAAAAAATCATAAATGGATTAAAATGGCTCATTTTGACTTCCACTGATAATATTATAGATTCAGAAAATAAAAAAGACAAACAAGAAACTTACATCTCGTAATTTCAAATTAATAGTGATACAAAATTTATTAGTATAAGTAATAAACATACTTTTGCACACATTTTAGAGGATTCAACCCAATTCCACCTGGTTTTAATAAACTGATTTTAAAAAAATTAATATTTTAGTATGACCTTTTAAAATTGGTTCTGATTTTTTGTCCGACTTGAATATAAGATTTTATAAACTAAGTTAAAAAAGCTAATATTTTAGTCTCACCTTTTAAAATGGGTTGTGATTTTTCTTTTTTACAAAATTGACAATAAGTTTGGTCTAGAGACCTATAGATCATTCTCGAGCTAATTAAATTAAGAAAAAAAATATAATTTATTCATACAAGATATTTTAAAACATTTTAAATATTTAAAACATACAGGTTATAGCAATAGATCAGTACCCACTTATTAGCGTAAATAGTGACAACATTACTATTAATCAACCTCGGATTATGATTAGTTATCAACCTAATGGTGATGATTAAAACAGATAGTTTCCTCGATAATCTTATGTACCTAAGACATAAAGGAACAATTAACCAAATATAATGTATCAATTTCATCCATTTTTTTTGTGGCTCAGATCATAATTCATTTTGGTAATAAAGTATTTGAAGAGTGTATTTCATGTGCGGTAACTTTTTTTTTTGAAATCTATGAATAAGTTTAAGTTTATATTATCTTAAGTATTATGAAAGAAAAAATGTATAAATTTTTCATAAGAAATCTATCATAAGAAAACAGGAATGTTTACGATCTTTGTTAAGACAAGGATTCGTTTCTTGAAAACCGAGTAATCGGAAGACATGTATCTGCTTCAACAATGCATTTGGAATGCGATGTGTGGGAAGATAGCAATAAAAAATAGCGGCGAATTCGTTTTCCGTGGTTAAAAATGAGCCTTGTTGAAACAAAGCGTCGCAAATGAACGTGGCAGCTGCAGTTTAATCATTAACATTTGGAAGCTAATTGCTTCTGCAATCCAATGAGTGACAGCGTTTTGGTCCATTTAAGAATTTTCCATTAGTGAAGTTTGATGGGAAGCATAAGATGACAGTGCAACCACACTGAAAATTCCGTAACATCTCCAACCGAAGACCGTCACCCCCAACACGTCCTTTTTTATACTTCAAGTCTTCGACCGTTCAAACTTCAAAGTTCTTCAATCGCAAGTTTTCAGTTCAGTTCATGTTCCCAAATGTAATAGAAAGCTCACCTCCAACTAATTATTTATATCCTTAAAACTTCAACAAATTCAACAAATCCTAGATCCATTTAACCGCCTTCCACATTCATGCTTATGCTATTCTTATTCTTATCTGTTGCTCTCAATCTCTGCACACCTAAAAATATATTATCAAAATTAAAACAATATATGATTCAGTGACTTTTTTTCTAATATGCGTGATATTCGTTTTCACTCATATGTGGTCGTAAAAGGTTTCCTAATCTTAATTAGTAATTTTACAAATATAATAACATTTTGAATGCATTTTAGAAATGTTTGTGGCTTTGAAAATAGAATTGAATACCAATATATGTATATATATATCATTTTTAGTTTTCTGTTTATTCTTACCTACTCCATGGTTGAGTTTTTTATATTAAAATCAATTTTACTTACAATACAATAAAATTATATATTATTAATTAATATAATTTGTCGATAATAACAAAAACTTGTTAATAAGTTGAGTTTTATCGATGGATCTTGTAAAATTTATTAATTGTTATTGATAAATGTAAATTTATTGATAATTATTAATACATTTAGTCATCGATAAAATTATTAGTAAATGTCACCATTGAGTTTTTTCTTTTTCGTTTTCTTCCTTGTTTTTCTTTTTTATCTTTTTTCAACATATTGTTGCCTTTAACTCTTTATCTTCCTTATCTTCTTTTTTTCTATTTCTCTTCTTTCTCTTTCTTTAACTCCAACCACTATCATCATAGAGTCATTGACATATATCTCTTCCTCTTCTTTATTCTCTTATTCAACTCGTCTCTCCTTACTATGTAAAAAGATGAAAATTTTGTTACTCATTTTATCAATAAAAGAATTATTTGATAATAGAAATTATAAATTATAAATAGAATTGATCGTCATATAAATTATTAACAAAAATATATGTCAATATTATAAATTCTAATTTATTAATGAATCTTATTGGATTAATTATTGACAAAAATATTAATAAATAATTTTTAAATTCTAAAATTCGTCAATAAATTTAATAATTACAAAAATTCTTAATAGTTTTAAATATTTTTTTTAAAGATGAAAACGATTAATCTTTTGAATTGTATTAACATGTGTATTTATAATAACTTCACTTTTATATGACTTTAACTTGCTTAGAGGTAAATGTAATGATTTAAATCTTATGTGTTAGACTTATAACCATCTCACACAAACCATATAAAGAACGATAACTTCTTAGATTTGGTGGAAAACAATATTTATTATAAAACAAAATTTGATATGAATAGACTTTCCTCTCATCTCTATTATATTTTACAAAAGAGACTTCTAATTGGGAGAAAGTTGATAAATGAAGTCAAAATATTAGATAGATGGCAATAAGAGAAAAAAAAAGTTTAAAAAGATTACGAAATTTATAAAATAAAACTACGATTTAGATTTCCAATTTACATAATAACCTTAACTTCAAATTTTAATATTTATTCTTATGAAAATCATATCTACTCGACATGTCTTAAAATAATAATAATAATAATTATTATTATTATTACTATTATTATAATTATTATAATTATAATATCAACAACATAATTTGTAAATTACAATTAAATCCATTAAATTATACACTAAATATTGTTTATTGTTAATAATTAAGGTTTTTTTATACGAATAAATTAAAGATATAAAACTTTTGTAATTAATAGGAAAATTATTAATTATAATTAAGATATATTATTTTAAATTTTTTAATTTGATAAATTTTATAAAATATATAAATTATTAAATTTAAAATTAAATTAAATAGTAGTTAAAGAAAAGGTAACAAAAATGAAAAACACGATATATGAGAAGCAATATGTTTAGTTAATAAAAGTATAATAATTCTGAACACATGTATTGATGAAAGTTAAGGTGAGCTAGAATAAATTATTATTTTTTTACATTTATATTCACAAGTTTATGTATAAATACAGTTTGAAATATAATAGAGTCTAAGATTGAAGGTTGAGATACGTTGTTATATTACTATTAAAGTGAATTATGAGGTGGGTTCGATTTTTTTAAGTGGTGTAAAAATATTATTTTTTCTATTTTAATTCAGCAAGTTTAAAGTACCATAGTACATTGGAATCCATTGTCGTTTTAAGACGTGCAATGCAATACATCGGAGAGAGTATGCTTAGATTTCCAAAATAAAAAAGGGTAAATAGAATTGAATGAGTTTAATGTTCATCATTCAATTCATGGATATCGGAATAAGAAAAGTCATGTTTCCACATCTATAAATCTAGTACAGCGAGTACAAATAGTAAACACTTCAAAATCTTCTCTGAGAGTGTTATTGGGTTGGGCTTCCAATTGTACATTTTAAAAGTCCAAAGGATATTTCTTTCTGCACCCATGTCTTCCACTTGAGTTTTATATTTCGAAATGAAGAATATTTTGGAATACGAACAGCCATGTTTTCAACTCTATAAATCAAGAACAGTGATTGCAAATGGTTTGTGTCACCAAGTTTAAACTGAAAAATCATGTCTGGAAATATGAGAGGAAAGAACAAGGTTATTGAGCCTAAAGGTGAACATGAAAAACAGGATTCTGTGACAGAACTGAAGCTTCCTTTTGAGAAACTGAACCTGGGACCACGGAAGAAGTTGCTTGTTATGAACCTTAATGGCTTACTGATGCATAGGGTTCATCGTCGTGATCTATGTAAGGTATCAATGTCTCGCTCCCCTGATGGGGTCTATGGAAGTTTCCTTGGTATGTAAATATACAACTTCAAACCTATGTAATATTATCTATCACACCAGTTACTTTAAATGTACAAGTTGTTCATATCATTTTTAGTGAACAATCTAAACATGATTATTATTGTAGTTTTCAAGAGACCTTTTTGTGAAGAGTTTATGAAATTCTGTTTAGAAAGATTTGAGGTTGGCATTTGGTCTTCTGCAATGGAGTAAGTGAATGCTTTTTTATATATATATATTTTTTTCCTTTAAACCTATTGCGTTTTTATGTTTTAATGGTACTATTTTTTCCTATGTGAATAGACATAACATGGAGGCTGCATTAGCTATTGCCATTGGATCTATAAGAAAAAATATCTCATTTAAGTTGGTAAGTATATATATTTTTTGCATGATTAACTAAGGTAGTGATTCTTTTTGTCTCTTTTTTTCTCATAAATGGTTTATAAACTTGTTTAGGATCAAAGTCATTGTACTAAATCTGGGTACCAATCCTTGGAAAAAAGTACCAAGCCTCTTTTTTTCAAGGAATTCAATAAAATGTGGGAAAAAGACAAGAAAAGTGGGCCTTTTAATGTCTCAAATACTCTGCTGATTGATGACAAACCCTACAAAGCTTTTCTCAATCCTGTAAGTAGAAGGAATTCGTTTTTTTACTGAACTTTTTGAATTAAGATTTGACTATTGTAATATTTGTTCATGAATACAGGATAATACAGCCATTTTCCCTGAATCGTATGATGTGAATGATGTTACTGATAGAGGACTTGGTAAGAATATACGTTTCATATTTAAATAATTGGTTTGTTCATTCTGTAATTTTGTTGTGTTGTAATTCTAGATCCAAGACGCGAGCTGTGTTCGTATCTGGAAGCTGTTTCTAATGCTCGTGATGTTCCTTCTTATGTGAAGGATCATCTTTTTGGACAACTTCCTATTACATCTGCTCATCCTGACTGGAAATTTTATTCTGAAGTCAAACAATCTCTGCTTAAAAAGCGTGCACCAAAGATAGTTTTCGGATAAAGAAGTCAAGCGCTTCATCATTTTGTGCTCTTCCTTGCTTTTATAATATCAAGTAACATTTGTGATAGTAACATACTGGTCTAAAACAAGAAATAGCATAGAGGTAGTAATTTGTGGTTACGTAATTACTCTGCAGAGTTTGAATTATGTGTGATTCTGGAACCTTGTGATGCAATATATGCTTGTTCTGTTAGGAACGTGTTATTTTGAATTAAGAATAAACCTGTATGTATGCAATGAAATGCCTACTCTGATCAGTCAATACTCTATTTGGGGATATTTTATAAACTGTTTGGTGTTTCACGTGGTTAATTAGGTCTGATGTGCATTTATAGATGAATGGACATGTGTTTAGAGTTAAATAGGAATGCTTGTATGGACTGAAAAAGGTTAAATTGAATCTGGTTAGGCTGTACATGAACATGATAACACAGTAACCACATTATTTTCACTCTGTCCTACTTTGTGTTAACTAATTAACGGGTGTATTAGGTAAGTGTGGGGTTCGGTTCATGATAAATCAGGATTAACAGGCTTTGGTTAAATGAAGTGGGACCAAGGTTATTAAACTCGAGAGTTTAGGTAAACTCGACTCATAAATTCGTATGAGTTTTTAGATGAAAAAAATTAAATAAATAATATCTTAATTCAAATAAGTATACAAAATTATATAACTTTAAATAAATAAAATTTATAAATATAATGTTCTTATAAATAAATATTGTAAAACATAAATATTTGGTTATTGTCATTAATTTTGATACATTTCATTAAACATATAATAAAAAAAATTGTAACAGTGGCAAGGACTTAGGTTTTATTGTTTAGGAAACAATTTCTTTTACCTATTACAAACCAAAAAGTGCTCAGCTCATGACTTTAAAAAAAAAAGGTTAAATATGTTTTTAGTCCATCTATCAAGCGATTTTGGGTTTAGGCCCTATTCGAAAGTTTTGTTCATTTTAGTCCTCTTAGTTTTGAAAGTCTTATTTTTTTTTTCNACTCGTCTCTCCTTACTATGTAAAAAGATGAAAATTTTGTTACTCATTTTATCAATAAAAGAATTATTTGATAATAGAAATTATAAATTATAAATGGAATTGATCGTCATATAAATTATTAACAAAAATATTTGTCAATATTATAAATTCTAATTTATTAATGAATCTTATTGGATTAATTATTGACAAAAATATTAATAAATAATTTTTAAATTCTAAAATTCGTCAATAAATTTAATAATTACAAAAATTCTTAATAGTTTTAAATATTTTTTTTAAAGATGAAAACGATTAATCTTTTGAATTGTATTAACATGTGTATTTATAATAACTTCACTTTTATATGACTTTAACTTGCTTAGAGGTCAATGTAATGATTTAAATCTTATGTGTTAGACTTATAACCATCTCACACAAACCATATAAAGAACGATAACTTCTTAGATTTGGTGGAAAACAATATTTATTGTAAAACAAAATTTGATATGAATAGACTTTCCTCTCATCTCTATTATATTTTACAAAAGAGACTTCTAATTGGGAGAAAGTTGATAAATGAAGTCAAAATATTAGATAGATGGCAATAAGAGAAAAAAAAAGTTTAAAAAGATTACGAAATTTATAAAATAAAACTACGATTTAGATTTCCAATTTACATAATAACCTTAACTTCAAATTTTAATATTTATTCTTATGAAAATCATATCTACTCGACATGTCTTAAAATAATAATAATAATAATTATTATTATTATTACTATTATTATAATTATTATAATTATAATATCAACAACATAATTTGTAAATTACAATTAAATCCATTAAATTATACACTAAATATTGTTTATTGTTAATAATTAAGGTTTTTTTATACGAATAAATTAAAGATATAAAACTTTTGTAATTAATAGGAAAATTATTAATTATAATTAAGATATATTATTTTAAATTTTTTAATTTGATAAATTTTATAAAATATATAAATTATTAAATTTAAAATTAAATTAAATAGTAGTTAAAGAAAAGGTAACAAAAATGAAAAACACGATATATGAGAAGCAATATGTTTAGTTAATAAAAGTATAATAATTCTGAACACGTGTATTGATGAAAGTTAAGGTGAGCTAGAATAAATTATTATTTTTTTACATTTATATTCACAAGTTTATGTATAAATACAGTTTGAAATATAATAGAGTCTAAGATTGAAGGTTGAGATACGTTGTTATATTACTATTAAAGTGAATTATGAGGTGGGTTCGATTTTTTTAAGTGGTGTAAAAATATTATTTTTTCTATTTTAATTCAGCAAGTTTAAAGTACCATAGTACATTGGAATCCATTGTCGTTTTAAGACGTGCAATGCAATACATCGGAGAGAGTATGCTTAGATTTCCAAAATAAAACAGGGTAAATAGAATTGAATGAGTTTAATGTTCATCATTCAATTCATGGATATCGGAATAAGAAAAGTCATGTTTCCACATCTATAAATCTAGTACAGCGAGTACAAATAGTAAACACTTCAAAATCTTCTCTGAGAGTGTTATTGGGTTGGGCTTCCAATTGTACATTTTAAAAGTCCAAAGGATATTTCTTTCTGCACCCATGTCTTCCACTTGAGTTTTATATTTCGAAATGAAGAATATTTTGGAATACGAACAGCCATGTTTTCAACTCTATAAATCAAGAACAGTGATTGCAAATGGTTTGTGTCACCAAGTTTAAACTGAAAAATCATGTCTGGAAATATGAGAGGAAAGAACAAGGTTATTGAGCCTAAAGGTGAACATGAAAAACAGGATTCTGTGACAGAACTGAAGCTTCCTTTTGAGAAACTGAACCTGGGACCACGGAAGAAGTTGCTTGTTATGAACCTTAATGGCTTACTGATGCATAGGGTTCATCGTCGTGATCTATGTAAGGTATCAATGTCTCGCTCCCCTGATGGGGTCTATGGAAGTTTCCTTGGTATGTAAATATACAACTTCAAACCTATGTAATATTATCTATCACACCAGTTACTTTAAATGTACAAGTTGTTCATATCATTTTTAGTGAACAATCTAAACATGATTATTATTGTAGTTTTCAAGAGACCTTTTTGTGAAGAGTTTATGAAATTCTGTTTAGAAAGATTTGAGGTTGGCATTTGGTCTTCTGCAATGGAGTAAGTGAATGCTTTTTTTTATATATATATTTTTTTCCTTTAAACCTATTGCGTTTTTATGTTTTAATGGTACTATTTTTTCCTATGTGAATAGACATAACATGGAGGCTGCATTAGCTATTGCCATTGGATCTATAAGAAAAAATATCTCATTTAAGTTGGTGAGTATATATATTTTTTGCATGATTAACTAAGGTAGTGATTCTTTTTGTCTCTTTTTTTCTCATAAATGGTTTATAAACTTGTTTAGGATCAAAGTCATTGTACTCAATCTGGGTACCAATCCTTGGAAAAAAGTACCAAGCCTCTTTTTTTCAAGGAATTCAATAAAATGTGGGAAAAAGCCAAGAAAAGTGGGCCTTTTAATGTCTCAAATACTCTGCTGATTGATGACAAACCCTACAAAGCTTTTCTCAATCCTGTAAGTAGAAGGAATTCGTTTTTTTACTGAACTTTTTGAATTAAGATTTGACTATTGTAATATTTGTTCATGAATACAGGATAATACAGCCATTTTCCCTGAATCGTATGATGTGAATGATGTTACTGATAGAGGACTTGGTAAGAATATACGTTTCATATTTAAATAATTGGTTTGTTCATTCTGTAATTTTGTTGTGTTGTAATTCTAGATCCAAGACGCGAGCTGTGTTCGTATCTGGAAGCTGTTTCTAATGCTCGTGATGTTCCTTCTTATGTGAAGGATCATCTTTTTGGACAACTTCCTATTACATCTGCTCATCCTGACTGGAAATTTTATTCTGAAGTCAAACAATCTCTGCTTAAAAAGCGTGCACCAAAGATAGTTTTCGGATAAAGAAGTCAAGCGCTTCATCATTTTGTGCTCTTCCTTGCTTTTATAATATCAAGTAACATTTGTGATAGTAACATACTGGTCTAAAACAAGAAATAGCATAGAGGTAGTAATTTGTGGTTACGTAATTACTCTGCAGAGTTTGAATTATGTGTGATTCTGGAACCTTGTGATGCAATATATGCTTGTTCTGTTAGGAACGTGTTATTTTGAATTAAGAATAAACCTGTATGTATGCAATGAAATGCCTACTCTGATCAGTCAATACTCTATTTGGGGATATTTTATAAACTGTTTGGTGTTTCACGTGGTTAATTAGGTCTGATGTGCATTTATAGATGAATGGACATGTGTTTAGAGTTAAATAGGAATGCTTGTATGGACTGAAAAAGGTTAAATTGAATCTGGTTAGGCTGTACATGAACATGATAACACAGTAACCACATTATTTTCACTCTGTCCTACTTTGTGTTAACTAATTAACGGGTGTATTAGGTAAGTGTGGGGTTCGGTTCATGATAAATCAGGATTAACAGGCTTTGGTTAAATGAAGTGGGACCAAGGTTATTAAACTCGAGAGTTTAGGTAAACTCGACTCATAAATTCGTATGAGTTTTTAGATGAAAAAAATTAAATAAATAATATCTTAATTCAAATAAGTATACAAAATTATATAACTTTAAATAAATAAAATTTATAAATATATTGTTCTTATAAATAAATATTGTAAAACATAAATATTTGGTTATTGTCATTAATTTTGATACATTTCATTAAACATATAATAAAAAAAATTGTAACAGTGGCAAGGACTTAGGTTTTATTGTTTAGGAAACAATTTCTTTTACCTATTACAAACCAAAAAGTGCTCAGCTCATGACTTTAAAAAAAAAAGGTTAAATATGTTTTTAGTCCATCTATCAAGCGATTTTGGGTTTAGGCCCTATTCGAAAGTTTTGTTCATTTTAGTCCTCTTAGTTTTGAAAGTCTTATTTTTTTTTTCTGTCGGGTCGGGTTGCGGGTAGGCACTATCCGTGCCCGACCCGACTCGTTGTCATCCCTAATTAAAAGTAGTCAGGGAAGAAGGTGGTATACACATCAAAGAAAGTTTAACACCATTCAATTTTAAGGACTAAAAAAAATAAGAGTTTCAAAACTAAGAGGACTAAAAAGAACAAAACTTTCCAATAGAGACTAAACCCAAAATCGCGTGATAGTTTAGGGACTAAAAACATATTTAACAAAAAAAAAATAACTTCTCAACATTGAGTGACCCAATGGGATGCGTGACAACTAGCGTGACCACAAGCGTGAAACAGACATGACGACAACCACGAAAGGAACAAAGATGTGAACGAGTGCGATTGAGTGCACGCGACAGCGACCTGAAAGAGGTGAGAAGATGACGATGGCCATGGAGAGAGACAGAGGAGCGCAAGAGACAGTGACAATCAAGTCATGAAACCCTAAACCCCAAACGACTTTGTTTTTCTTAATTTTTCCTCCTTTCAAACTCGCAAAATCGCCCCAAACTCGTGATTCTACACGATCCTACCGATTTC